TATATATATATATATATAATTACATATATGTCATAAACCTATATAATGATTGAATTAAAATTTATATTAAAGTAAAAATTTTAAAAATGTTATTAATTTATTTTCACCAATGATTTGAATAGATTATATAAAATAGATTGTGTGTATGAAGTAATGAAAAAAATTTTCTTTTCAAATTTCTATATTTTTTTTATAAATATTTGAATATTAAATTTATTTAAATGATTAAATAATGAAATTAAATGCAATGATAATGTGAAATTTATTTATCATAACTCATAATATGTTTAAAAGTAAAAATCAAAATATAATAAAAAATATTATATAACCACTTCACATATTCTAAAATATAAAACAATTTTGAGATTATAAAATATAATATACTAAAATAATATTAACTTATAAATAGTTTTCATTATGGTATTATTCAATTAATACAAGATATTGTTTTAATATATAAATTTATAATGATTTAATACATTTTTATTATTTAATTTAACATAATAATAACATTAATGAGCTAGTTAAAATAAAATGTAATAATACAAGTTTACGTTTACAATGTATAAATCACTGTATGAGTGCATCCTGATGTTTCCTGTTACATGTACCATTCTTTCTCGCGGAATGATTAGTTATTTCATAAAGTTTATCTTTTTATAGGTACCATGTTATAAATATATGTTATTTTCGTTTTCATATTTTTTTTCATATTTTTTCATAGTCATATGAATGTACACATAATCTATGATTCTCATTGAGCTTTAAGTGAATTTCATTTTAATCTAACTGATTTTGGACATAACATGACAACAGTCACAAACATGTAGCAAGCTAGGATTACAACATAAAGTAACTGATTGCTGTAAGATTCATTTTATTGGCTAAGGAGTGTTCTTATTTCTTTGTGCATATGGCAAAGGAAATCAACATAACTTGGACTTCCATCGTTTTCTCTATCTTCAATCAAGAAATGACGTAATACAATTTCTAGTTTTTCACGTTGTCTTATTATAGTTAACTGAAAGATGTAATAAAACATAAGTTTCATGAAATTTTTAATGCATTTCATATTTTTTCAATTTACTTACCCTCATATAACGATGCCTTTCCATACGTACGCGATTAATGATATCAGAAATTCGTTTATTTAGTGGAGTATCTAATACTGGCAGTGCAGTACAGTCTGTATCAATTTGAACTATTGATGGAACACCAAATACTGCTTGTATCCATTGTGGAGAAAGTGCCAGGCCTAACCATAAAAACATATGGATACTATTTTCTAAAATAAAAAATACAAAACAAATATGAATATAATTTAAAATTTTTTTCAATGAAATAAGAAATAATATTATACCAAGTAAGTACGCGCCATCATCAGTGAATTTATCAATAGAACAACGTAACATTTGTGGTAATTCTGTATCTTGTAAATCAATATCATGTAAAGGAAGTAATCTCGGGTAAATATACACGACTGATATAGAAATTGGCATAGTTGCAACTGCTTGCATAACAAAAGATCTATCATCAATAGACATATCAGCACCTGAAAAATTGAATTTATAGCGTTGATCACATTGTAGAATAAAAAACTAGAAAATAATTAAAAATAAAATTATGTACCTCCAGATAATGCATCACTTTTTAATAATGAATTAATGTAAAGTGGAAGCAATTTCATACATTCTGGTAATATTAATTGGCCAGCATTAGATGGTGAAGCACAATGTTTTCGATATGCAGCTAATATATTTGCACATCTTGCAATTAAATTATCTTTTACAGTTTTTGGAGTTGATTCAATTAATTTAAAAACACCTAAAAAATTTTTAATTGAATAATACTTGATGAGATAAATTTTTAATGAAATAAATATGAATTATTCTACTTTGTTTCGAGAAATAATTTATGATTGCATCTAAATCACATGCACGGTATAATTCTGCCATTTGAGATGATGTTTTTAAACTAAGATTAATAATACGCAATCTTCTAATTCCACTGCATGAAGTGTACAATAAAGCTGCTTGAATATATACACCTTCATCATCTGTTAATTTATCATCATGTTTTATTTCTATAGCAATAGCCTAAAATATTAAATTAACAATTTTTATTATATCTTTAATACATGATAAAATAAAAAAATCAAATTATTTTATAATTATATAATGCAAATAAAATGTTTACCTTATTACAATCTATACTAGCCAATTCCATATCTGTAGTATTTGACATAAAGAAGTGACCAAAAAAATCAGTTGCTCGAACACCAGTAGATGTACGTACGCGCATAATAGCATCAAATGCAATTGGTCTACTAATGTTATTAATAACATCCGAAATTAAACGATCACCATCTATATCAGCCTAAAGAATTAAAAAAAATTTTAATATGATATATGTATATATTTTATTTACACTATAATAATAATTAATTTTATCTTTATTACCTGAAAATAAGTATATTTATAAACTTCTCCACCAGTCAACCTAGCTATTTGTCCTATTGTCGCAATATCCACATATGAATTATTGAAAACAAACAAATCTACGGAACATCCCATGCCCACACATTCCTGACCTAGATTATTATAAATGTTATTTTGCGGAGCTGAAAAGATAGATTAACTTGAAAATATTTGAAAATATTTATTATTATTATTACTTAAAAAATATCTATTAATTTAAAAATAAAAAATTTACCTAATACGGTTTTTTCTTTTTCTGTACCAAGAATTTTCCGATCATCACGATTTTTTAGTTTACCAGGTGCATCAGCAATAGGTAAAGAAGAATGGAAAACCATTAATTTTCCAGCACAATCTGAAGCCTTAATTATTCAATTAAAATTATAATTAGTCCATATATTAAGATTTTTTTATTTTGTTACTTATTATTATATTTATTATATAATATTATATAATTATATATTATATAATATTTATTATTATAAGATTATATTTATTAAAAAAAATACCTTTAATGCTTCTAATCCAGCCTGTATAGCTGGTGCAAGGATTGTTTCTGTTTCACGTGTATCTGCAAACATTGCTGGTATTTGTGTCATTAAACTGTCGATAACAGATTCACTTTCTTCAACATCACATAAAAATCCATCAAGAAGTGGCATAAAAACATCTTGTACATCTCCCACAACCATCATTTGTGGTTGAGCGAGACAAGAATTAATATTGTAAAAGTGCACTGTATTATTATATGTTATAAATCCTACTTTCATGTTTGTTTTTGATTGACCAGCATCAATAGGTAAATGTCGCAAAATTGACTTCATTTGCATACAAAGTAAATTAACTAAACCAGATTTAACTGTGTTGTATGATACATCGATCACGAACACAATAGCTGGTGGTTTTGGAAAAGTATTGTTCTAAAATAAATATTTTCAAAATAAATATTATTAAAATTAAATACTTTTTAAATTTTTTTTTTATCTTACTCTGCAATAATCCTTAGTAGCAATATATTCATATGTTCCTAACATTAATTCTGGTCTTTCATAACGATCCATACGTTGACC